TTTTTTTTTTTTTTTTTTTTTTTTTTATGAATGAATCAAAACAAATTTTTATTTATAAATACCTTAGATATTACCCTTTATCAAAAATTTTCAAAAATATAATCCTTTACTTACCTAGGTGAAAATTAATTAAAAATAATTTTTTCAACTTTTGAAAATGTTCCAGAATTATTATGAGCCTCAAACATGTCGTACGTCGGTAGTACCCCAACGTAGACACAAAGGTTTACTAAAGTTTTATGTATATATATATTGACGATGAGTTCGCCGTTCGAGCTCTTCCCGAGTCCTCCCGTTGGATAAACTGATCAGCCCCAATCTCTCTAATTAGTGGACCACTAAAGGGGTAGAGTTTAGACCCGTCAGCACGGTCTAGCTCAAAAGTAGCAGACTGAAGGGTGGCTCCTTGTCAGCCACCAGCACAACTACCTTTTTACTATACCCACTAAAGGACGGTTAAGCCCAAACACTAGCCAGCTCGTACACTAATTATTAAGATTGACTAAAGGACCAGCAGTCCAACCTAGACTCTAGCCGCACACACACACACACACACACACAATTTTCGATATCACCGTGAAAATAAAATATTGCGCTAAGTCAAGATTTTTAAATAGCTATTTTATTTACGAAAAGTATTAAACACAAAAGTCAAATATAATATAACACAAAAATTAATTAAATCTTACAAAAAGTATATAGTTATTCTTACGTCAACAACCTAACCCGCAACTCGACGTTTCTTCGACAAAAACGTCCAGTCTCGTCTCGCTCAGTCTCGACCCGTGTCGACCCCCTATACTCTTCATGTTTCCCTTTTATATTCTTTTTTCCACCATTATTAATTTGCTTACCCTGCATTTCCCTTTTATATGGAATTATTTTATTGCTTAGGAGTTTAAAAATTGCTTACTACTATGTAAAACTTATATTATACTAAAATCGATGTAATTCAATACTTCCTCATATATTTACTACAAACATATGTTAAATTAAAACTTATATGATATGTTATAAATTAAAATATAATTTGTCTCGACATCCTTATCTTCTATGTGCAAATAACTTCCGTATTTAAAAATATGTTATTTTTGTGTTAAAATTCTCGATTTTAAATTGTGATCTTCAAATTTAAACTGATTTAACTTTTTGAAAAATATATGGATCAATACAATTTTTTTTCATAAATACTTTATACATATTCCATTCATCCGACATTTACCCTCATTTACAAAAAAAAATTAAAATATTTAAATGTTAATTATTAATATTTTTTATAATTTCTTTGTGAAAATTATAACACATATATTAAATATTTATTTCATTCTAAATTTAATTTATATAACATGCATTTATTCATACTTATAAATATTAAAACATGCTTTTGATGAGAGTATGCTTTTGGAGTAATCCCATTATTCCTTCTAAAATTTAAATACTACAGATTTACATCGAAGTGTTTTTTATGGTAGTGATCACTGTCGGATATCATCTATACTTTTCTCAAATATTTGAGTTTTTAACTCGAATTAATTTTATTTATAAAATAAATATTATCAACAAGTAAAAGATAAATATTTTCGAAAATGCTTCGGTTAGGTTTACACTAAGTAAGTAAAGTTTTCGTTTAGTTATACATTTATTAGTAATTTATTTTTTATATAAAAGTTATTATTTTGAAAATTTCAATAAATCTAATCACTTCGTCGCAATAATGACGCCATTTACTGTATCCCTGTGGGCACGTCTATAATCATATTATTGGTATACTAACCTTTAATAAGAATACTATAATTTTATATATCTTTTAAATAGTAATATTAATATAAATAATTTGTCACATAAACCATTAGACATATATTTATAGATGTAACATAAAAATTTTGAATTTGAAAATAATTTTATTTGTTTCTTTTAAGATTTTTCTTATCTATAGAAACAATAACTATTGTTCTAATTGATGAGTCATACTATCGAGTTGTTTTATGAATGTTATACTTCATTGTGCTAATAGATATATACATTACAGGGTGAATCATAAATTATTGATTAAACACAGTTCCTGAACTTTGTTTATTTTTTAGTTTACTTTTTTAAGATTTTATTTTCTACAATGAGGTTTTTATAATTTTAGCTTTTTATTTACAGTAATTTAAAAAACTTCTCTAATTTTGACTTATTTATCAAATTTCATATTTATATTTCATATTCTTTTTCTTGCATTAATAGTGATCTTAAATTCTTAATTAATTTAATTGTTATAATTCTGTATTAATGTATTTTTATTTTTATTTTCAGCTGAAAACTCAAAAAAAATGTTCTAATAAAATTAATCCCTTCTTGAACAAGAATGGGATTTTATCAATCCATAAACTATTTAAAAATCGTTTTCATCTAATTAACAAAATAATATCTTAAAAAAAATCTTTTAGTACAAGAAATATAATTTTTTAATTTTATTTAATAAAAATCACATATTTTACTCATTATTACTTCAGTGGGAAGCAAATTAGGTAAATACATATTTAATGCTTTGTGTTCAAATAGTTGAAAGAAGATACTGCAAAACATGAGTTTTTAATTATGTTATATATATTTAGGTTTTTTTTTTAAGTTGGCTTTAATGGAGATTAAAAAAATTGTATTATCATGTTTTGCATTATCTCTTCAATATTTTGTCAATAATAATTATCTGAATTATTTAATTGTTTATAGTTGTCAGCTATAGCATGTCGCACACTCATTTTTTAACCAAAGAAAATTTTCCAAGCTTCTGCAAAAAATTAACTGAACTACAGTGGACAATGGAATCGGCACATATTGATAAACCTGAATGCTCTTCTCCAGCTTATTCGTTTTTACCAACAGCACGAAATGTACCAAAAAGTGACTGTCATCCCAAAGAAACTTATACAAATTACTTCATTGATTTAAATGAAGAAAATACCCTGATTGAGAAATATTTAAAACAAGAGTGTGATACTTACAAATTATTTGGTGGACCTCCTATAAATCCACTATTTCCAGATGAAGGTCGTGGATCAAGTATTGAAGATTCGCCAAAAACTTTTTCTTATTTTTCAAAAAATTGTTCTTATTTGGATAAAAGTATCTGGGCTCAAGATTCGGGTAATGATAGCTGGCCTGATGCTTTTATGCCTTTAGATATCAAAGATGAATCTTGGAAAGACCTTAATTCAGAAATTGTTAAGGAACCAATGTCTTGGGCAGTTATTCAGCGTCCAGTAAAAGAAGATAAATTTAAGCCTATCAATCAATTAGTCGATGCTGGTGCAGCTATTTTTCCTGATGGTTCTCAGTTTGAAATAGATTTGTCTTATGAAGCTTTTGATGCAATTGAAATTGAAGGAAAATTATATATTGGAAAAGATGAGTTTAGACGTACAGATGATGGATTATTGTACAAAGTTTGCAATCAAGATAAAGGTAACTTAAAAATTAATTTTTAATTATGTAATTAAATAATATTATTCATATTGTGTTTTTATTGCCTATATAAAATTTTTATTTCTATAATTACTCTTGTAACAAACACCATACAAAGACTTTTGTTTTCTAATGGCGTGATTCTTATAAGTTTAATATACATTTTTTCTATTTATTATTTATATTGGATCATAATTTAATTTTTAATTTTGCAATAATATTAGCTAATTGACATCCTAATAAAAATAATAATTGTAATTTAATATTAAAACTTCAGTCTTAGACTCTAATATTAGTATAATAGGAAAAACTTAATAGTCATACTAATTTATTGGATTGATGAAAGTGTACTAAACTCAATATTAGATGTTATAGATTCATCTAAAATGATTGTTATCTCTGTATAATCTTATCAGCAGTTGACTTGAATAAATTTAAAAAAAATCATAATAAATAGCATAATTGATATGCTAATGTTATTAACAGATTTGATTATCTATATAGTATGAAATAAGATAAATTATTTATTATTAATAATACAATTTTATTTTAGGCACTCAAACAGATAATTGGGATGAAAATACATTACTTGTAACACGTACCACCAGGCGTCATTATCATTTTCCTATTTTTCAAAATTGGCATGTTTCACAAAGTGGTGAGAATCATGATATACTAAATGACTTTTTGAATCCTAAACGTATTCAAGAAGTGAGAGGTGATATGAATGAAAAAGCACAAATGGTTGATATGCTACGATCTATAATTAGTATGCAGCATATTTGGGACAAACCAACTGCTATCAATGATATGAACACTTATCAAGATCAAACTTTATTTTTGCCAGAAATTTGCAATGAGTTGGCTGCTAATTACACAATGTAAAGCCCTTTTTTTTTTTTTTTTTTTTTTTTTTGCCATAATATAGAATTTTAAGAAAAGGTCCCAAATATCCTTATTATTTTTTATTGCAATCATATAATATGTAATACTTTTCAGATAGTAACATTCACTGTTAAGTTTTTAAAACCTTATATGTATGAAAATAATACCATTTTAAAAATTTCCAGAGTTAGATTATGATATCAATTACTCTCTTGCATTATGTATTTATTATTATAAAGAAGCTGCAAGTTTAAAATATTAAATTGTATACAATATTTCTTTGGGGCAAAAATTTTAATTACTCATTTATATTTTAAAAAATAATATTAACAATTTTGGTCAATAGGTTTCATTTTTGTTCAGTTGAAAAATTAAAAAAGATAACATAAAAAGAAGCAATTAAAAAAAAAAAAATTTTATGTACCTAATAATAAATATATTTTTATTTGTTTCTACTTTATGATTATATCTAAGCATTATAATTGCTTAAGTGGGTTTTTCTTAACATTGATTGATGATGTTGTATATTTTTTTTTCTTTTAAAAAAAATCATAACTGTCAGACTTTTAAAGGTCAATAATACATGTTACCATGTTGAAAAATAACATTATTTTTTATTTTTATTTCCTTTAAACTATTTTTTTGTATATCAAAAATATAGGTTTGATAAAATTTAAAAATTGTTCGCCTTAAGTTATAGTATGTGCAATTTGTATTAATAAATAACAACTATTAAAAGTTAAACAAAATCATAAAATTTTTATTGGTTCTATTGATTGGTGAATTAAAATGCAAATTATTTTCGACATGAGTTTTGATTAATCAAATATAAATTTGTAAAAAAGCTCGCATGATTTTTATATATTTCATTATACAAGTTTTCTATCAAAATGGCCAATTATAAAATAAATAAATATTTGAATTTTTGAACAATTGAGTATAAACGGGTGTTGGTTGTCTGTATCAGTTAGAGTCTATCAAAAAGGGTCCCGATTTTTTTTAAATATGGCGCCCAAAAATATAGTTATGACAATAATTATTATTTTTAACTTATTTATACATATTTTAATGGAACAGTCCGAAAAATGTTTTCGGCCCTGATTTTTAATAAAAAAGCGCCTAGATTTTATTTAATAAATTTTTTTATTTAATAACTTGCATATATTAAAAAAATTGTATATCTAAATACATTTTCTAATAAAAAACAAAAGCTTTTTTTAAATTCTTTAGAGTTAAGGGTTAATATCTGAAAACTTTTGCTCTTTTGAGTAGCATTTACTAAAAATGTATTGCTACTAACTGGTAAACCCTCAACAATNAGCTTTTTTTTTTTTGAAAACCAAATATTTTTTTAGTTTTATTTTGTTAAAAATTGTTGTTGGATAAGTTTATGCTATATGTGTATATTGTTTATGTGCTTATGCAATGTGTTTTGATAAGTAGAAGTCTGTAAAAATTGACCTTAAAGAGTCTTGACAGTTGAGAATATTTCAACATTTTGAAAAATAAAATTGTTAGGTTGTCGTCTAATACAGAACATGTATAATAACATAGTCAGTTAAATTTTCCCTATTGATTTGATTAATGTAATACATGTTTTCTTATTATATATAAGACACTATTAAACTGTAGATTCCAATAAATTATATCATAATATTTTTGTTTAAATTAACTAGAAATCTGTGAATCACTTAAATTGAAGTAAAAGAATTTTTTTATAAATTTAAATATTATAATTTTATTACATATATAAATTTATATAAATATAATAAGACAATTATTGAAAAAGGAACATCTAGTATATATTAATTACATTTCATATACTTGCAATGATAATAATACATAGTTTTCAACAATTAAATTAAAGTATTTCCTGTATTAATTATTATTAATTTTATGTTAACAAAATATTTTTTAGCCTTGTGTAGAAAGCATTATTATTCTGTTATTTTTTATGAATATTAGTTCAATAAAAATAAATAAATTAACTACCTATAATATCTAACAAAACATTCACTTTATAAGAAATTAAACTCAACATGAAAAAAAAAATTGAATGTATTCCACATGAATTTAAAATTAATAAATAAAATTTAATATTGTGACAACAACTTATATATTTTTTAAATGTATTTGCAGTAATATTTCATTAATATTAAGAGTTATATTAAATGGTTTTTTTTTTTT